AAGTTCTCTCACAAACCGAGGTTGAAAGTTCAAACGAGTAAAAGGAGCACCGTGACTTTTGCTCTAACCCTAATTTCTCTTATCTGCAGAAATGTCAGAAAAATTAGTTTCCTCTTCTTTTTTTAAAAGCTTTATGTCCCTGAATATTCTCTAACTTTGTTTTTAAACATGTCATTGTTATAGAAAATTGTTAACGGTAAATCTTTTCTCAATAACAGCATTCCACATGAGAGTTGTTATGTCTGGTTTTTAGTTTAGATTTTTAGTTTCTGAACAGCCAATCTGTGGTCAAGGGCAATCAAGATGAAAATTTTATTTTGGCTAAAAGCTGTTTTGTTTTTGTGTGTGTGTTTTGTCCCATCTCCACCTTAGATGGTTGCTCCTACTGGCTTCTTAATAACAGCAAACTTTTTTGTCAAAGGTGTTTTTCTTATTCAGACAGAAAACGATAGAAAGAAGCTGGAAAAGATACATGTAACATTATTTGTTAATATGATTACAACCTTGGTCTAAAGTGGGCTAACACTACCATATGAGAGTTTTATGGTTGGAATGATCTAATCTGACTGAGTTGAACTCTTATCTTAAAACCTTCACTGTCTCAAATAATATTTGACAAAACCTGATATTGCATTGTAACATTGTCAGCCATGAGAATGTGTGTTTGCTGGTTTTAACACACCAACTCCAGACTTTGCACAGCTGTGATATTTGTGTTAGAGAGCATCTTTATGATACTCCGAATGGATCTCGTTCCTAATAGAAACAGACTGATCTTCACGAACAGTGGAAAATGAATGTGGTAATACAAGCATTAGTGCTGAAAGCCAAGCTGAGTCAAAGAGCTGAGTGTATTTTCTCGCTCCACTTTTCCATATGTTGAAAAGTGGAGCGACCTGTTTAGTCAAAGGATAAAGTAGGCCGATGGTTAGACCTGCAGTACAGGACGTCATCCCTCGACAGTTTCAGGAATAAACTGTATGTACCACAGGAAAAAATGGCAAAATACAGGTTGGTTTGGTGGAGTTGGTATTTGCTTTCATAGTTTTCTGTCTAAGTATAGGGAAAAAAACAACAACAAAAAAAAAACAAATATGTTGTTTTCTGACTTTATTTTTGTTTTCTACAGGAAATCTAGATTTTAAAAAAAGTAATTCAGTATAGGCTTTTTATCTTTTATCGTTGATTTACCACAAGTCATTTTTGACCTCAGTGGTTTGTTTCTAAGGGCCTGAGAAGCTCCAGATAAGGGAGCTTGTTTGGAGCTTTTATATCAGATTGGCGGTTTAAACTGGACATTTAGGTCCAAAAACTGCAGGCTTAAACCCTTCAAATAATTAGCTTGCAATTTTAGACCTTCGGCAGCACATTTACGTGTTAGACATGTTAAAATTGAGTGGATCAAATTCAGCCCAAATGTTTGAAAACAGTGAAATGGGATTTTACAACTGGATTTATGGAACATGCAGATGTTTGGATGAGCATAGTATAAGTTTCATTGGAGGAAAAAGGTCATTCAAGGCTAAAGGATCAAGGCTAAAGGATTATATTCAGTTTTCAGCTAATATTTTACTGAAAGGTCACTCACTTCTTTTTAATCAGTCACTACAGAAGTGGCAGTCTTAACATGAACTAACTTCCTGTCTGGGATGTTAATATGCTTGTGTCACATATCACGAGTCAACATGTAGAAAAGTGTCTCTTTTGAAAACCCCAGTCGCTGATTGAACTCTGTCCACCACGTGTCACCTGGTGTTTATTAACTTAAGTGAAGCAAATGTTTTACAGTCATATATCTCTCCGTTGTGTAATGAACACAAAACCTGCCTGCCTGCATTGCAAGTTTGGTTTGTGAGCATCTGAAGACTTCACTTACGATGGCTCCGTCTTTGTGTGCGTCTGTGTCGCTCTCCAGTATCTCCAGTCCCAGGAGGTGCTCCCACTGTTGCAGTAACCCGTGTCCGGGGCCTCTGTGGTGCTCCTGATGCCCCTCACCCACCCCTGAAGATCCCAGGTGGGCGAGGGAATGACCAGCGGGATCGCAATCTTTCAGCAACGCTATTCTACTCTGTATGTGGAACAAGTTTATTTATTTATTTTTTTTTCAGGCAATATTTTTTCTTTTGTGGCGTCTCATCTTTATGTCTCTCCTTAGGATGCTCATTTGTTGGTTCTTGAAGAGTCTCCCCCTGCAAACGGCAGAGTGCGTTTCTTGCTCTTTGAGCCCCGCCGCACTGAAGGCAAACATTGTGTCTGGAGGGCTGCGCTTAAGGGGGGAAACCTTTATGTGGAAATCCCTTCTGGAGCTTTGCCTGAAGGCAGCAAAGACAGGTGAGGGGGAGTAAATGCATCTTTTTCTGCATCTGTGCAGGAACTCTGTTTTTCTTCAACAAATTAAATAGAAGAGACGTTGATCTTTGCTGAAGATGATTGCTGTTATTGTTTTAGTCTGTGACTAAAGTCAGGCCTTTACGGTTTGTACTGTACTAACATAAATATAAATGGGTAATGTGCAAAGAAGTATTTCACCAAAATAGATTTGGATAATTATTAGTAATATGTGCTGTTTTCAGCCATAAACCTGTATAAGGTGTATTGTGATCACCTCAGAGTTCTTAATCCTTTAATAATTGTTATTTTGTCCAACAGTTTTGCACTTTTGCTGGAATTTGCAGAAGAACAGCTACAGGCTGATCACGTTTTCATCTGCTTTCACAAGAACCGTGACGACAGAGGTGAGATGATATCTGTGTGGCTTTGGTTTAACAAATAACTTGCTTAATAATAAACCACTTTGGCTCACAGCAGCAAAACTACTTTTGAAAATAATGTACAGAAATACTGAAATATATTTTATCAGTTTAAACACATTTTGTTTGTGATGTAAAACTTATTTTTCTGGTTTTCCTTTGTTTAAAATGAAATGTTTTCTATTTATATAAAAAGTAAATGTTAAATTCAATGCTTCTCTTTATTAAATGTGGGTTAAGTCCACTAAGTCCAATTTAATGTTTCCCAAAAGTGGGAGCAAATTAGCTGCTGCTTTATGTAGGTTAGGTCATAAAAAGTACATGTGGAAAATTTTGTCAAAATGAATTCTAATAACCAAATGTAGCTTTTGCTGTACAAGAAAATTGTTTTCTTTTTTTCTGTTCCTAAAGGTGTTGAATTATTTCCACACATGCTCCGTGTTGTGTTTAATGTACTCTTACTCTGAGAGAGCTTTATATGTTTCGAAGTGTGTTGAGGTCAAACTAACGAATGTCTCTTCCCTCTCCGTTTCTCCTCAGCATCCTTGCTGCGTACGTTCAGTTTCCTGGGCTTTGAGATTGTTAGACCGGGTCATCCTCTCGTCCCCTCCCGACCTGACGCTTTCTTCATGGCTTACAGCATCGAGCGAGACTCCTCCGATGACGAATAAAATAACGCTGAGCAGTTACAAATGTTTGTTCCTATTTCAATCAACGCCGACATCAGTTCTGCAAATGAGTACATTCTAGACATTAAGTGTGGTTGAGGTTGGTGGTTTTTCTTTTGCCTTTACCTACTGCGTGCTGTGTTTCAGTAAAAGTTGCACTAGAGTTAAGATGTTAAATAGAGCAGGAATGTAAAGCAGAAAGCCTGCATGATATCTGGGCATTACATCCTCACCACCGTTTAATAATGTTCTTGTCCATTCTACCCCTGATTCCTGAATATCTCCACAGTATATTTAAGATAAATTGAAAGCGTACTCATGTAAGTAGATGTTTTCATAGTAATTATCAGTTGATTTTTCTTTTTTCTGTTAATTTTTTTTTAATGTGTGCATGGTTTGCTTTGATCCACTTGGTAGAGATCTGCATGTTGTAACGACTAAATAAAAGTGCTCACCTTAACATGTGGTCGGCTGAGTAATGTCGGTGAAAGCTTGACAGTCAAGGATTTTAGGTGATGCAGAGGATCAGATTTACAGATGGGGGAGTTTATCATGTGGATACTATTGTTTTGTAATGTGAAACTTGAAAACAAAAAAAAGAAAGAAAGTAATTTAGGGTTAAATAGCATAATATGCTGTACAGTGCTGATCGAACTATTCTATACACTTATGGGCATAAAGTCCATCATTTTGAGCTTTGAATGCTTCTCTTTACTTTTTTTCAGGTTTGCATGCAGGTTTTTGTATATGTGTACTACACTAATAGTTTAAATGTCCTTTAGCATACTGGAGAGAAAGTCAAACCTCTGTATAGTCACACCTCTGGCTGGATATTTAACAATTCCTCACAACAGAAATGGTAGAGTTCATTCCAATCGATTGTTTTCCTGATAGAGACCTGAATATCAAGCCATAAAATATTCACAGGCGTAATCCTGAGGCTGGTTTGTTCACAACTGAGTTTGATGTGCGTTTGGAGTTGAGGAAGTTCAAGGTAGTCTTCATATTTTTCATGTCATGCTTGACAGCAGGTACATTGTGCTTCAATTTGAAAGCAAGGAGCATTAATGTCCAACCGTCTTCTTAAGCTGAGTTGAATGTACCATTTATCACAATGGTAAGGTTTTCAGCCAGAATTATACTAGAAGCTTGACGGTAACAAAAAGTGTTTGCTTCTTTACATATTTTGTGTAGAGGTGTGCATGTGTTCATCCCTGTGCAATTGAGATCAAACATTAGTTTAAATGTATTCATCATGTACTTCATTTTTGAGATCTGTATTACAATTTGACCCTGTGTGTTTAAAAAAAATTACAAAGTTCAAGTGCATAATTTAAATAAAACAGAGTGTATGTAAACTTCTGGCCAGCACTGCATAGTCAACCATAATTTCTGTTTTAAATCAATGCAACGGTTCTGCAGCTGCATTCGGGGAGGTAAAGCAGTGTGTTCTTGCTTTGCATTGTAGCAGCATTTCTGTTGATTTATTGGTAAGTGCAAATTAGATATTACATGAGATCACTAACAGGCTTGCCTCAGTTAAGGAACTCATTGATATTTATTTTAACAAGTTCAAAATTTTATCAGACCAGTTTGCATCAATATGAACAGAGGTGGTAAAGCAAGGATGAACCTCTCAAAGTAGTTTGTCCTCTGCAGCTGATGCAGCTAAAAATATCTCGGTAAACTCAGCTCAGGATGTTGGAAAGCTGCATCGCCGCACCCATTACTGCTTCAGAATCGGTAAATGGCAGATACTTCAGACACATGCAGTCCTCCCAGTCCACACCAGAATGATCCTCCATCAGTCCCGCCTCTGCCAGCTTCATCACCAGCAGGGCTCGCTTGACAGTCAGCCAGTTCTGCACAGCCGTGACCGATGAGGAGCCTCTGTGGTTGGATATGGAGACCCGGGGCCCCCACAGGAGCACCTGCAGCATGGCTATAACGTCCGTCATCTGGGGACCGTTCTCGCTCTGAAGCAGAGAGGACAAATGAAGAAGCCCCATTCGGCATACAGACACAGTAGGGTCTTTGTGGGCTTCCTGTGGGCGCAGGCAGAACTGAATTAGGGCTCCAATTTGGCATTTAATGGAGGTCAGAGCCTGAGGGGCCAAAGCAGCAGACTGTGGTGTCACTAGCACACGAGGACATCCGTATTTCCTCCATAACTTCTGCACCCAACCTATTTGACCATCCTGTTCCAGCACATCTCCCCCTTTACATCTCTGCCTGCCGGGCCAGACCAGAAGGATCTCTCTGGGTCTGAGCTCAGCTGCAGCAGCACTGTTGCTGTGCAGGTGGTGTGAGCCCATTAGGACCTGCAGCACCAGAACACACACCTGTCTGTTGTAATTCTGACAGTCGCTGGGCTGCACCAAGCAGCTGTCCTGAACAAAGTCCTCCAGGGTGGCGTGCGGCAGATCACGTTCCACACTCACACAGTGTCCTCTCTGAATGAAAGAGTCTAGAGACGTGGTGCTGGGACAACAAGGCTCTGTCTCATCGCTGCCTCCGTCTGGTGGATCAGGAGCCCTGCAATCTGGCTCTCCAGTGGTGGAAAGCGCTTGCGTTGCGTTGGTTTTGCTTTCCTCATCAATGCTTGGTTGAAAGTAAGCGATGGCATCTTGCACATTCGCATGCAGGTTTTCTTTGTTACAAGTCGATGGAGCGTTCTTCTTCCCTTTGCATGTCTGCACAACACATAACAGGACAATATGCACTCATTGCATCACAGTGTTTCGTACTTCTGAGATAAATGTGACACGAAAGAGCTCTGTATCTGCAGCTGGTGTAACTGCTGAAAGGAAGTTATGTTGGGACCACAATGAGTAGAACATTTGCAAATGTCGATAAAGATCAAGATTGTTTCTAACGCAATGTGCTTTGTATTTCAGACCTAACTTGCAATGGAAAACATAAAATCATAAAAGACCACATATGAAATAAGAGACCTGCAATATTACCCTCAAACCGAGCACCCTCCCAGGGAACTTTGGGCTCTGGAGGCTGTAGTAGGTCTTGTCTCCGATCTTCTTTGGCTTGCTACCCTCACACAGCAGGAAATCCCCAGGCTCATATGAGTCGCAATCCCTTTCTTTCACCTTTAGGATGCTGCGCTCCTCAACGCTCTTAGCCAGGCTTCGAAGGAAGAGCAGCTGACGATGCTGGATCCTCCCTGAGACAACACGCTGGTCCTCAAAGCTCCCAAAGACGGAGGCCAGGTGTTCATCGGGGGTATCAAAGGACAGCTGGGACAGGGGCTGCAAGGGAGTGGGGCTTCTTCTGGCTGGTTTCAAGCCTTGAGTCTCCTCATGCGTAAAAGTATCAGGTATCGGTGCCATCATGTAGACGGGGTTGTCAAAGTTCTGAGGACGTCTTTGCAGAGGGGAGAGTGGAGAGAGGGAAGAGTGTGCAGGTGGATCAATGCCGGGAAGAGAGAGGGCGCGGGTCAGCTTCTTCTTTGGAACAGGAGGTGGTGTGCCATCGGAGAAGAATCTCATCTGGTGTTTGAACGGATCTGGGGAGTACAATGAGAAGGAACCTTAGATCTAAACAAGAGCCTAAGAGGAAAAAGACTGGATTTAAGAGTCACAAATGCTCAAAATAGTCGTACAATCGCAGGAAGAAAAAAAAACAAGTTACAGTGACATTTTTCCAACTTCACTTTTTAATAGACATTCAGCGAGGAGTGAACTAGCAGATATTAATCTACAGTTCAGCTGCTGTCATTTCTTTCTGTGCCTTTTTGCTCCTTTCTGTCTTCATGAGGTCAATACTTTCCCCCTGTGTTTTCCTGCAGTGTTTCACATAATTCTGTGGACATCTACGGTTTGATATGTGTGAATGAATTGTTACTGACATTTAATGAAAATAACCCATTCATCTGTTTTTTTTTTTTGCTTGTTTTGCTGAAAGGCCTACTCTAATCTGACACACTTTTCCATGTCACGCCTCCCAACATAAACAACAAGCTGCTACATAAATAGAAGTGTCTAAATGACATTTTAGACACTTCTAAAAGTGTCTAAAAAGGACGTCCGTTTGCTGTGGTTCTCTATAAATCAACATGTTTCGTCATCATTTTTGCTCTGACAATGAAGTACTTTTTTCTTGTACGAACCGTCTGAGCTAACGTACATACTTTCTGTCTTTAATGATAAGTTCTCTTGTCTTTCCCATCTTGAAGAATGAATGGGAAATAAGCCTCTGTGACATTTAATATTTGTACCTCAGTGAAGAATAATATGTGGATTAAAGTTTAAAAGACAGCTTATAAAGTAAAGTAAACATGCTTGTAATTTCATGTGTCAGTAATATTTTGTGTGGGTGCCACTACTAGAAACAAAAGGGATTATTGTTAAACGCAACAGTTTCTTAGCTTTTGTCCACCCCTGAATAAATGTGACCAATTAAAAAGTTGCATTTTTAACTTTTTAAATGTCATTTTTTGGGGGTGATCACACTTTAATAAAAGATTCATTTATTTTAGAGCTTTATATACACATTTTTCTGGAGTGACATTAAACATGTAAAGCACCCGACTAGTTTCCTAACATGGCCTTGTTTCAGAAGAGACTATTTGTATTTCAGGACTTAAAACACAGGAAGCTCTGTGGTGAAATTGTAAAAAAAAAAAAAAAATGACCACAGACTTTTTTTTTTTAAAGTAAGTATTTTATTACCTCAATTTAAAGCATACATGAGCACTAACATTTTCAGTTTGAACTTAGCACAGTATTTTTATTATGTGTGTGTTTCACCTGGTATTTTAGCTTATGTGGGGTTTTATTATTATGACAGTCGGATGACTCCAATTTTCTGCAAAGTTATTTTACTCTGAAGCTCACTTGGAACTCACTGAAAGTAAGCATCACACAGGGCTACTTCCTCTCTCTGCTTTTCACGAACTGAAAGACGAACTGAGGAGAGGAGTGAACTACTCCTCCCGTTTGTCAACAGCGAGTTACAAGCCGGAGGTATGCAGTCCTACCGTAGCGCTGGTGGATGGGACACTGGGCTGCATGACAGTCGGTGGGCTCCGAGAAGACATCGCTGTATGCAAAGCTGGGATGCTGAAACCCAGCGGGGCTGAAAACAGAGTCCGACTCCACACTGGAACGTCTGAAGGAATGCGCAGAATAGTTCACCCATAAAGCGTGCACATGTGCAGAACCGTCCTCTGCAGAAATAGTCTGATTTTACAGAAGATTGTATTTTTTTTTCTACAAGTAAGAACATGCACTGCAAAATACTTGAACATACAATGACAAATGATCAGTGAAAATATAACTATTCTAAAATATATGTTTTTATTATTTTTAATTTTTTCAAAGAAAATCTAATTAATGAGAATCTAAGTATTTTTCCTTACCTGTGTTGTTTGACAGGCAGTACTGGAGGCTGATCCTTCTCTCTGCTACCAGAAGCAGACGCCATCAGAAACTTGAGTTTTTAACACCTTAATCTTTCCCCTTCACCTCAGCAACGTCACCTTCCTCTGACTTCTATCACGCTAGAAGTTCAGGAGACCAACTCATTGTCTCTTTTAAAGACTTCCTGTCTGCCTCAGTCTCTGCTTCCTACTACTTCGTCTGAATGGTCGCGTATTTCAAAGCAACTCGTCTTTTAAAGGTGTTGCTCAGCGGATGTCTTACTGCGATCGGTTTCTGTCAGAGCTTGAGGTTGGCACCGGAAAAAGTTGACTCTGTACTGAGGGCAAAGCAGCTCTCTGAGCTTAACCTCAACTCCGGCAGAAGGAGGAAGAGCAGTTACAACAGAGCGCCGTCACGTTGCGCTTGTTTCTGTCTGTTTCTCCCAGGTGCAGCTCACCGGTGTTCATCCTAAGCCCATGTAATGTTACAAAACTAGTTTTTTACAGGCTTTTGGATCAACTTCATATGTTTCTGTGACCTTTTTCAACAGATCAGGTATTAAACCAGGACTGCATGCAGTTTGTAGCACCTTGAATCCCAGCCTGGGTGCTTTGTGGCGTCTCTCTCCAGTAAGAGGTCATCACAGGGCATTATAGAGGCACTTAAAACAAATAATGTACATTTTTTAATAGCCAAATTCCCCGGGTGCTTATGGGAAGAACATGCAAACTCCAAGCAGGCATGGCTCAGGCCAGTATTCAAACCTGCGACCTCCTTGCTGGAAGGCACCAGTGGCACCAGAATAAACAGCTGATTTTAAAGGTCATGTGAAGATATCCTGATAGATGACAGCTATATCCTGTCAGCGTCACGTAAAACATGTTTGCACCAGTTTTGCTATGTCACCCTCTCAAAACTGAGCGATGGAGTTATTTGAGTGAACAGGCAAGCTTTATTAGCTTCTCAGGTTACAGGTTATATTCTCCTGTCCCAGCATAACCAAATGTTATTTGGAATCAAAATTCACTTATATCAAAATATGAGCCATTTCTCCCTTCATTTATTGTTTTGGTTGAAAATGTTTTAATTCAGTTACTCTTTTTCTGTTGGAAATAATAGAAATATAAAATACAAAAATTTTATATCCATATAGAGTATATAGAGAAACAAAACATAAAATTTTTTTGTTTTCATTTTTTAGCAGGCAGCTTTTCTCTTCACCATCTACACCCCACTTCATGACACTGACATGTGGCCCGGTGACAGGTTAGCACCAGGTTAACACCAGGATTGTGTGAGAATTCGCAATGACATGTAGTGTAAATGGTGATTTAATAGACCCAAATCCTGACAAATTGCTCTCTGAGAACAAGGTGCACAGAAGAGACAGCATGTTCTAATGTCATATATGACAGATATTTTTGGCATATCTGTCATCATCTGTCATCAGTTTCTAAGAGAAAACAAGAAGACCAACATCTATTTACACTCTTGCATTAGATGTCACATTTAAAAACACAGTTATAGTCTTTACGATTAATACAATATCAAATTGTGGGTATTTAAATGTCCCTTGTAAAAAAAAAAAAAAAAAGGATGACATTTCCACTATTCATTTTCATATGAATTTTCACTTCCATATGAGAGCAGAAACAATGACGGAGTTCACAAATCTGAGAATCGCTCTCAGTCACCTGTTTTCCTCACAGTGCATTGTTCTGACTGACCGGAATCCTGGAAGAGTTTGACCTATTCCTGTTTTCACTGAACATACTGGTCGTGTTATTTCTCTCCTCCTCCTTGGGATTAAAAAATAATCAAATTCCAGTACTGCCTGGATATCATTTGTGCACAACAGCAGTCTGCAAAGTTGAAGTTAAAGCAGCTGTTTTTCTGCTTAAGTATTCAACCTGCATCTGTTTTCTCTCTTGCTTGTTTATATATTCAAAGAAAAAGGTGAAATTTCAGTCACCTCCAGCTACCTTATTTCATGCATGCATTTATTGCACACTAGTGTCTCTTTTTAATGGTCTTCCTTGTATCGTAGTTTACTTTGCCGCTGCAACAATGTGAAAAACTGTCAAAAAAGTCATATTTTTGTCTCTTGCATGGTAGATCCATAGAATTTGGGACATACTAAAAAAAAAAGAAAACAAGACTTAAAACTTTGCAATTTTTGACAGAATTTTCAGTTTTTGGAAGGGAAACATATGAGATAATATCAATAAACTCAAAAGTCGAAATAGAAAAGTTGTGGCTGACACTCAAGGAGTGCTTCCAATCTCTAAGATTTGGGGTTCATCACCAAAAATAAAATGTAATTAATGAATAAATGCATTTTCAGTTGCTCTTTACATGAGCAAAAAAAATTTTTTATTCCTTTTTTAAAGAAAATGTATTGAAACATGTTTTCATTATTTTTTTTACTTCCTTGATATTGTTTTTCTTGTTGTTTGAACGATTCCTGCCTCATTTCCTAGAAACAAATTTCCTGGTTGAACGAAAAACAAGTTTGGATTTCACTCCACCAGAGGTATGAATATTAATGGACTCAAAGTTGCCATTTTATTGTGGATTTATAGAGGCTCTGTATTTGTTTTTGCTGCATACTGAATCTGTTTTCTGAATTTTCTCTACCTGATTACTAGAAGCCTCTCAAAAATTAAACGTCCATTATTTTTCTCCCATTCATTCCTCACTGCCTACTCCTGCTATTGTAAATGCTTCAGAGGCTGAATTTCATTAAAGCCCAAACCCTCAATTACCTAGAAGCACTCAGGAGAAATCTTTTATGCCATGCAAATAAACAAACCACATAGTAGCGAGATTATAAATTTAAATTCGTCGGCTTCCAGTGTTGAAGGAGCAGCTCTGTCGCAGTTTGCGTCACAGTGCCATTTATCCTCCACATTTTGGTGTGAGGGCGGCAGATGGATGCATGAAGTGACCAACACTAGGACCCTCTTCAGCAAACCTCTTCAGCCGATAGAGGGGCAGATTTGGTTTTTTCAGAACAGAAGCGTGACTGTGGAAACTCTTAGCATGAATTGAACATTGATACAAACTGAGTTAGGTAGCCTCAGGATTGGCCATTTAAAATCAAGACATCAAATTCAGTCAGATTTACACAACGGTACAGAATGCTACTGTTTTGATTTCTTTCTTTTTAATGAAACATTATTTTACAGGTGCAGAGTAATTATGCCACATATATATATATATATATACTTGAATTTACAGGGAATTTTCTCTCATTCATCAGGGTCAAAATTAAATATACAGACTCAAATATCTGCACACACTAGTACTTGGTCAACTGTCCCGTAGAAACTAAAAGAGTCTATTGCTGCTTGAAGCTTGTTGTTTTTCAACACACTCTTGGCATTTTTTTTTGTGGAGGGATATTAACCACTATCCTTGAATTCAAACATAGTCAACACATTTTCCTAAAGTCAGAGGTTTGGGGAAAGCATTTATAGTTAATGTTAACCTAATTTCCCCATTTCAACACCAATTTGGATAAGTGTTGTCCTTTCTGGAGCACTCACTTGTATTTATGTACAAATTCTTTGACCCAAACATTCATTTACCATTGAAAGTAAATTGATAAATATGTTCAGAAAAAAAACACAAAAAACAAAACAAAAAAAAAAACAGGAGAATATTTGTTAAGTGTGAACATGATTTAAAGAACTCCATACTAACTCACAAGCATGGTGATGGATGTATTATGCTGAGGGCGTGTTTTAGTGCCAGTGGTACTGGTTCATTGCACGATGATGAAGGATGATCACAATAATCTTAATTAATCAAACTATTTCAAATTTGGACTCAGTTGACCAGAAATGTGTGTCAGACTCAATTATTCCTGCAATATTTTACATTTTACAGCTACAGAAAACAACACATATTCTAATCAAATGCATATTTTAAACCAGCTTACACAGTTGACATAAATGACATTGGAAGTCAAACTTCTTTTGTTCGTGTGTTACATTAAATGTTTCTTTATGATGTGATAGAAGCGTCGTTTTAGCTTATCTGGTGGCTTCGGCGTAGAGGAAGCAGAACGTGAGGCGCATGGGGAAGCGTGCGGCTCTCCTCTCAGTGAACTCTCTCCGCACCGGGAGTCAGGAAAGTCTTTGGACAGCTTCTTCTTGGCTCCTAACAGGTGGGAACAGTGTCCTTTGATGACCTCTGCGTTGGATCCTGAAGCACAAACGGCACTAGAAGCCTTGCTGTCACTGTTTAGGCGGTGCAATCCAGCCTGACGGAGCAGTGCCTCCTCACTCGCCATCTGTGGGCTCTGGCTTAAAGTCACAAAGCCGTACGGTGTGGTGACCTTGGTCAGGTGGGGCAGGGACAGAGCGGCCTTACTTGTGGGGTCCAGGCAGTAAAGGGTGCTTTTGTTGGCGGGAGGAAACGGTACATCCCGCTGAAGGAACGATCTCCTCTTGGCTAACGGGTCTGAAAGACACCGCTCAGCTTTACGGCCTGACAGCAGCAAGCTGGAGCAGGAGGAGGATGAAGATGAAGAGACGTTAGCCCCGCAGCTCCTTAATTCTCCCTCTGACTCTGCTTCATTGTCCTGTGCCTCCTTGTCCAATGGCCGTAAACCGGTCTGCACCGACAGACTTGGTATGGTAAACTGTGGGATGCTATCAGGTGTCAGGATGTTGGCAAAGATGTTTTCGCGGCTTGTTTGTGAGTCTGTAGAGCATCCAAACGACTTTGCACTGCCGGTGGCCCACAGCAGGGCCTGGATCCCCACACTGCTGCTGCTGCTGTGCCTCCTGGTTGTGGAGAGATCGCCCGAAGCTTTGCTCCCACTGCAGATGGCACCAAAACTGAACGTTCTTGTCACTGGTTGCTTATCCATTTTGTAAGAGTCTTCCACTGACAAAAGGCGGAGCAACAGGAGGCTTTTATATTCATCTAGTTGCACCTGTTTTTTTTTTAATTTTTTTCCTCAAACTCATAAAAGGACACAGAGACGTGAGAGAAACTCCAGCCGGAAACGGTGACCAATTAGAGAGCTGCACTTGTATGGCAGCACAGTTAAGGATTTGTTTCTCAAAGCTCTTCAGATGCAAAGTAGCAACAAGAGCAGGAAGAGCATCTGTCTGCCTCTTGAGGCCTGAAACAATAATCTGATATTAAACCACAACATTTTCCACTTGTTATAAACGTTTCAGGGTTAGTTTTCAATAGTTAGTATCTTATCTGAAATGCTGTTGTAGTTTATATACATATATATATTATTATTATTATTATTATTATTATTATTATTATTATTATTATTATTATTATTATTATTATTATTATTGTGTGTGTGTGTGTGTATTAATGCGGTTTTCCTTTAAATGAGAAAACAGCAAACGTGAAATTTCAGCAACTTCATCCTGGGTTTTAGAGTCCAAGCATTTGGCCCACTTTCCGCCCCTCTGATGTGCGTTAATTAGCCAGACGCGTCTATTGGTTGGTGCTGATTACACCAGGTGCGTTTGTCTGCGCTCATTGGCCACATCCACGGAACAGAAAAATACATTTTTAGGCCCCAAACTTCTCAGCGCCATTGATGAGCCTCTCTCCCTCGCTGCAGACCCGGCAGGTCCAGGCTTCGTCCCGCAGCACCATGTCTTGTGAAACCTCCGGGGACGCTGTGACGGAGCCTGAGAACTCTGAGGTGAGGATGAACTCTGGGGAAAAAAAAAAAAAAAAAAAAAAAGCAAAAAATATATATATATATATATATATATATATATATATATATATATATATATATATATATGCCGCGGCCACCTGTTTGTGTTCAGCCTCGTCGTCTGTCTCTACCTGTAGGGTAAAGTGGTGAGGAGAGACTGCCTGTTTCGCTCTGTTTTGCGCAACCTCCTCTGGCCTTTCAGCGTCGTTGTAAGTTTTTTTTTTTTTTATCTTCTTCTTTTTTGTTTCAAAACCAACATGGTGTGAAACTTCCTCTGTGCACGACTGCAGCTAAGGGCCTTCCGCGGAATTGTGTGGGCGCCTCAGCAGAAAAGCCTTTCCTGCCCCGTGACTCCCAGTCCGGCGCGTCACAGCCTCACCGGCTATAAGCGCCTCTCCCGGTTCACCCGGCTGCTGCTGCGCGTCCTGCCCTGCTGGGCGCAGGCCGCCCTGGGCTACCCGGTGTCCCGCAGCATTGGGCGTTTATTGCCTCCAGGTAAGTAGGTTGTCTTCACGTTAAAGCGTGGACGTCCGGCTCCAGGCCTGACGTCCACGTCAGGCCTGGATTGAGTTTCTGCTCCAACAAATGTAATTCTTGCCTGTACACTTTGTTTCTTTATGGCCAAAGCTGCATGTTGAAGGCCCCTGGTCTAGAACCAATCTGTTTTTTGAGATTAATGCTTTTAAAAATCCATTAGCTCCTAAATGTTCATATGAAATGCCAAGTTCATCAAGGAAAGAAATTAATTACTTAAGTGCAAGAACTTTGGCTTGCACTGCATTCTCAGTTAGTGGCTTTATATATTTTCATTGCAATTTTAACTTCAATCCAGCACTAGCCAGCTGGTATTGACGATGGGTCCACAAAGACATTTGGACAGAGTCCACCTGCCCATTACCTGTACAATATAAAGCTTGTTACAATTGGTAAAATTTTATATTTTTCAGTTTGTATGCATTTAAGTATGAAACCTGTAAAATGGAATGTGTCTGAAATGGGCATATTGCTGGAGAAGCTGCTTTAATCTCGCACACTAATTTACTTGCACTTTTTCTAGAAGGCAAATGAGCTTTAAATGGTTGCTTTACTCAACCAGTATATTCATGAGTGGAGTTTCATCTACCTGTGATGAGATGCTATGGATTATTGTAGCTGGTTCTGCATGTTCTCTGAACAGAAGTCAGTGTTTCTCCTACTAAACCATGTGGAAAAGGCAGCAAGAGAAAACTTGATGAGCTTGACGACAACGAGAAGGAACCATTCTGGATGGCTGAGCTTTCTGGAAAACTTCCAGATGAGGACTCGAATGATCCTGACTATGAGGTTTGTTTATATGACCTTTCATTAATTGACATGTCAGGCCAGTTGGTATTGGTGTGTTGCCTTGTGTCTACGTTTACCCTTAAGGGTTTTGTCTTTCTCCCCTCAGACCTCCACAGAAGAGACAGACAGTGAGGAGTTCGCCTCAAAAAATGATACAGAAAGTGATCTTGAGATTTCAGAAAAGGGTGTCTTTATTGAGGACGTGAACACGGTGAGATGACTTGCAGCCTCATTGAGTGACATTATTTAAGGAGTTTATGTTATCTGTTTTATTTGCAGGGTGTTGCTGTGTCCAGGCCTTCTGAGGGGTCTTGAGCTGTTTAATCTTTTCATGTTTTTTTTTTTTTTTTTGCATGTTTATATCTGGTAATTCAATAAAACTTTATTTTGCTGTAACGTTGTGGCCACTTCACCACTAGATGGCAGTATTGTGTTTTCAAAGATTCATGTTGAGGTATCGTTACAAATGTGACGTTCTGTTAAATGCACCACATCCATATTTATCTGTAGTGAGGATTCAATCATGTCATTTTTGTCTGGAGTCCAACCTTTTCTGCGTCCTGCAGAGTAAACCCTCCTGTTCAACAGGAGGTGCAGCATGCTATATTTATGGGAAGGGAAATGCCACTGAAAAGCCTCTTAAAACTGTCAAACAAACGCAACCCAGTCACTTGCACTATGCATAGTGCAAGTGACCTCATCATAGTGCTTATGATGAGGTCCGTTAAACTCTAAGCTGGATTTTAATCGTACCTGAGGTAATGATGTTCTAGTAGCTCATGGTGCTGCCCCAGCACTGTTTGCAGCACTTAAACATTTTAAGCTTTACTTTCCATAAACTTTCGTTGTAGGTGCTATCACCTTTTTAGACATGCCCCTTTGTCTTGTAGCAAAACCCAACCTTACTCCTGAGGTAGAAGATGAGCCTTGCTGGTTTTAGCTGGGTCAGTCAAAGTTGTTTCCAGTGAGAAATTGGTCTCAACAGGGTGGTCCAGATTTTGACAACTACAATGCAAAGTTCTTGGTTTTTGGAGGAAGTGGTCCACATCTACAGTACTTAACAGTGGACTGAAGTTGTTTTCCCAATCTTGCTTTTCATGCTAACCCAACCTGAGTATTTGCAGCCAAAAGCTCTAACATGATCAAAACAGATCCAGTAGTATTTAGCAGACCTCACATGATTATAATAGGACAAATTTCAAAACAGTTGTAAGCTGTAGTTGTGGAAATGTTGAAAGTTCCTATACTCAGAAAAATAACACTTGTACGGGATTTAAAAACATTTAGCTACTCCGATAAATATTTCAAAGTGATTATATACATCTTTAGCAGGAATGCTAATAAACTTAGCTGACACCAAAAGTCGTGACTACAGCAATCTTGTATGACAAGAATTTGAGATCTAATGTGAAATATAACTAGAGGAGGATGAGCCTGTCTCTCAATGGTTCTGAAAGGGAATAGGCTGTCTTCATTTGTAGCAGGAGAGACTGAAAAAGCCAACACTGCTCACATCCTCTGCAAACAATCGTCGGTTTCATTTAATTTGACTGCACAGCTGTTCTACAGGGGTTCACGTTAATTTGTCTTCACCATGCATTTCTGAATGACGCAAATATGGCAAAAAATAAGCAGTAATTTTGTAAACATCAAGATCCAGCTGCTTTCAATTGATTCCTGGAAGCCTTTGAGCGTGCTTTAACTGTACTCTGTGGCTTCCTCTTCTATTTCCCTCTGAGATCTAGTTCACCTCCAGAATCTTGGGTGAAAAAGGCAGGCATACTAAGAGGACATCGGTATGAAATAAATGGCTGGTGTGTGTGTGTGTGTGTAGAGCGGAGCAGCTGCATTGAGAGCAGGATACAGAGGAGGGACTGATCTCTGGGGGTTCTCATGGCTGTCTGAACGTTTGAAGGGTAGCCTGCTCTGCACAGGCAGCGGTGGAGAGCATCAACCTCCCATCTTATGTGTTTGTAGTCAGCTGGAGACCATCTTTTAAAGCTTGAAGCTTTGTTTTTCTCTTTGAAAACAATACATGTGATGAACAACAATCGTTCTAAATGTGCTGCAGCAAAGGGAAAAATAAGACTGGCAGAGAATGAGGGTGCACAGGGATTTGTTGAGATGATCAATTCAGATGCAGGGTGACATTTGCTGTTACTGTGCCATGCTAAAGTATTTATACCAAAATTCTGTATTAATGTGAAGTGAAAGCAAAAGGACACATGGCTGAAAAGATTTATTTCTTTTAAATAAAAATTTGAGTCTTCTGCTGTTCGCTCAGGCCTGCAGTTACAGCTCAAGAGTGTTTTAGGGAGTCTCTCCACAAGCGTCGCACAGTTTTTCCTAATTTTTTGCATAGCTGGCATTTGGTTCATGCTCGTTCTTCAACTGAATGATTTATCCTTTTCACGTTTTCCTGCAACATTTTCACAGGTTCTACTGATTTGTCTTTTAGTTCAATTTATTTTTGCCTGAACTCTGATCAGATTCCATCACAAGATGCTTGTAGTGAGCATGAAACCTGTAGCTTTTCTTTGTATCACCTGGTCAGATCACCTTCTTTCACATGTTTTTGGCAAACAAGATTTCCTTTGGGGTTTTTTTTAGCAATGCTTTTCTTCGGAAGACCAGATTTGGGAAGAGCATGACTTATGTCATCACATTTTTTTTTATATTATATTTTTTCCCCCTTACATGAATTGTAGATCTCTGCAGCTCCAGCAGGATTGCTGTAAACCTCTCAGCTGCTTCTGTTTTCTGCTCTGATCATCAAACCTGTTGGTAGTTTGTGGATGTGCCAGAATAACAAGAAACGTAACAGCTGTGTACAAACATGGAGCAGCTGCATCACAAAGGTGGATTGTATTCCACCTAAATTAGGAGGCATCTGAAAGATATTGGTTGCACTGAATGTCAAATTAGTGGACCTTTTTTCAGATTTTTAATTGTAAAAATGATGTATTGTTTTCTTTCCCTTTTCCTAATTATACACTACTCTGTAGAAGTCTCACATAAAATCCTTCTCAAATCCAGTAACGATAGCAGTTGCAACATCCCAGTAAGCACAAAGCGCTAGAAATACTTTTGCAAAGCATTGGATAAACAAACAGAATTTACTTGTGATGCTGCACGATTATATTTTTGGACCTCTTACCTGATCTATGTGAGCAGCACGAGAGTTGATAGAGTGCAGATGGTTATAAAACCTTCCTGACACTAACAAATGCACACCTAGAGGCACAGCACTGCAGAGCCACAGCCAGGACTGTGTGACATCGGCGTATTGTCACCTCAAATGGATAGCGGCAGTTGCCGGCTGCTCCCCGGCCCACAGTGTGACCTGCAGGCTGCTTTATGTGCTGCATGACAATGCGACCCTGAAACGTCCGCCACGAACACGGCCCAAACTCACTGCCATACCTCTTACTTTCTAATCGTAGAACTCCCCAGCCCCTACGCACAGTCATGCAGGGTGATTCACTTTACCTGCAGGCCTAATGACTGGCTGTCCCTGCGGATTTCAACAGCATCCATCACCTTCAGAGAAGTAGAGCAGGAACAGTGGCATGAAAAGTAAAGCAGACACAAGCAGCCCTCTCTTAGTCGCACACTTTGATGCACTGGACAGTGAATGGTCTTGAAAAGTTTTCAGAATGGAAGTCAAGTTTTTGGAGCAAATCAAAATCGACCATACTAACCGATGAAGATAAGATGTGACATTGATCTCAAAACCCTTAGTGCTGCTTTAAATCCCATCAAATATGACCGTCTGACTCAAAGCCCAAAAGGGGTTTGGCCAACCCAAGAGTATTTGAAGTCCTTTTCTCATAAGCAGACCTAGCAACTATTTAACCTCCACAACTGGCAAACTGCAGCTGTCTGTCAGAAGTGTGCAAAAACATTTTCACATATTCCAGATCAGTGGACTGCAACTCCAGCCCATAAATGCCACTGTCCTGCAACTTTTGGATGCATCCCTTCTCCAACGGCTGAATTACCTCCTAGGCATGTTGGCAAGTTAACCATTCGTTGGATGAAGACGCATTGTATCGGGGACGGATCCAAAAGCTGCAGGACAGTGGCAGTCAAGGACCGGAGTTTGGAGTCTGAGCGCTGGTGCTGGGAGGTGGGAATATTGCTTTGATCTCTGTGACCTTTGGCTCCCCTTTATTCAATTTGTTCGTACCAGCTGAAGGACTGCCAACACCTTCTGTGTGTGCAGGGCAGTCAACATCTACTGGACAACGGTATAGAATACCAAAAGGAGTTTACACAAAGCCATGGAAAGAGAATTTCTACAACTTTTAAACATTTTGTCATATTTTTTCTTTTTATTCACTCCATGAATTTTTCCTGTCTATTTAATTATTTTACTATGGTGTTTATAGAGAAATACTTCTGCAAAATGAAAGAAAACCATAAATAGTTTTTATGAATGGAGATGATTCCAGACTTTTTTTTAATGCTCTAATAGGCCTAAATGAAATGCAGCGCAATGTGTTTACCAGCAATTTGTGAATCGATTAACCCATGATTGTAGCTGTTTTGTGATCAACACAGAGGTTCGTCATGAAGAGAAACAGCAGTCAGGTCAGGAATAAAGCGACATCCTAAGTGTTGAAGCTCTAACACAGCTTCATTATGAACAATGAAGTGCATAATTGAAAAATATCAGAACTATTGTAGTACAAGTGTCAGAGGATATTTTGAATTTCTTCTTGGTGTATTTTATTTAATGACATCCTCATTTCTGCCATCTTAATCTCCCAGTTGCCAAAATCTTACTAGTTTTACACAGAACTTAACTTCATCAGTCCGTACCATTGTAAAATAAGTTTAATGAAGAATAAAATCTAAATAAAAGTATTAATCTAATTCACAAACTTGTCTGCACAACTAAATTGCTTGCAAAATAAAACACTTCATACAGTACAGTTCAAAAGGTTACTGTACAGAGAAGAAATTAAATGTAGAAAAATAGAAAACCCTTCATTGGGTTGAATCTAGTGATGCAATCAATGACATCACATACCTCTTCAAACAGGAAGTGCTTCCATACACCTGTCCTGGAAAGAAAACTCAAGTTCACTGATGTTTCAGTAATCTTTGCTTTATGAACACGTCAGGATGTAAAATTAAACATGACGCTACCACAAACAATTCCTGCACAGGATGTGAAGCGAAATCGCAACAGCAATGTTTAAGCTAAATTACTGCGAATGAGTAAAATAAAATGTTGTAAATAACAAATTTAAGGGAGAAGTGATGAGTACACACAATGTAGAACACTTTGTCACAGTTAAATCCTTATTTAAAAGTGTCCAGATTTAATGATACTTCAATTGAAG